TCCTGCCCTGCAGCGCCTGCTGGAACCGATCACCCTCTGCGCGCTGTGGGGTGAGTGAAGGGAAAGCACAATAATCCCAGTGCCTCCTGAGCTGAGCGCTGGGACCCGGAGCAGAGGCTGCTCACAGACTCTCTGTGCTGCCTGGTCCCCTGCAGAGCAGGGTCAGATCACCAGCCAGCTCATCTCCCTGCACGTTGGGGATGTCCCTAAAAGTGCTTAACTCTGAGGGAAAATAAACATTAAATTGCATCACTTACAAACTCCTTCCCAGCTACTATTAGTGATGTTGTAACAGTTTTCCATTCACAGCTTTTTGTATATAGCCAGTCTTTTCTGGGAGGACAGGAACCCAAGCCTCTTGAGATGGAGAGGACAGACTGGCCAGAGACGCTGTAGTAAATTCCTGTTCTGATAGCAATCGAATGAATTATTTGGAGCAGAAAGTCTATTCCTTCTTGAGGGCCTGATCCAAATCACATTACATCAGAAAAATTTCTTTATTTTCTCCATATGCCTGTGCAACAGCCCCTAATTGGATGTCTATGCTCTTATTTGTCACTGCCCTGATTGAATTAATTGCCATAGAATTAAAAATACTGGTTTAATTCATGCTCACATAAATATCAATCATTCTTGTCTCTTTTCATAAACACAGGCCCTAATTCAAGTACCATAATTTTACACTGCAAACATAGCCAAAAAGGTGATAAAGGAGAATTTCACGATCTGTATGTTGGCTGCTACAGAAACAGCAGAGCACAGGATCAAAGCAGAGCAGTGTGATTGATTTACTCTCAGCTGCTGCAATTTTTGTGAAATGTGTCTCAAGACATGGGATCCCATGAAGGGAGCAACTGGTGCCAGGAAGAAACAGTCAGCATTGCAGGAGCTACGTCCTTCCAGTGCTCCTGGCATAGATATCCCTGTGGATAGACAATCCACATAGACAGATGCTCTGTCACCTCCTCCTGACCTGGGAACCAGCTGTTAAACGGTGCTTACTGAGGAGCTCGGGGTTCAACAGACACACCCTGACCCCACAGAACCTTCCTCCCACTGTCAGCTGGCATTTCACAATCCTGCTGCCCTTTGTTTGCCACATTACACCCTCACAGAGCTGCCCCTGCTCTCCCAGCATGTAAATAATGTAAAAGAGGCTGTTCTTGTACTCACTTACTGAGGGAAATGGTTATGGTTAATGGACCAGGTGGGACTCAGGAGATGTGACTTCAGCTCCCAGCGCTGGCACACACTTCCTGCACAACCTCAGCTTCCCACACAGCCTCGTCACATTCCCCAGGCCCAAAGGAGAGGATCACAGCATGCTTTCAAACAACCCAGGGTGCCAAGTGCCCTGGCACAGGGGACATCAACATGGCACTGCCCAGCGCCAGCGGGGTCACAGCCTGAGCGGAGACACCGCGGTCCCTCCCTGTCCCCAGCAAGGACACTGCTCCCGGAGCTCCAGTGACCTGGGGACTGCTCCCTGCAGCGCCACCGGGGTCCCTTCTGTCCCCAGCAAGGACGCAGCTCCCGGAGCTCCTGCAGTGCCACCGGGGTCCCTTTTGTGCCCAGCAAGGACACGGCTCCCAGAGCTCCTGCAGTGCCACCGGGGTCCCTTCTGTGCCCAGCAAGGACACGGCTCCCAGAGTTCCTGCAGTGCCACCGGGGTCCCTTCTGTCCCCAGCAAGGACACGGCTCCGGGAGCTCCTGCAGTGCCACCAGGGTCTCTCCCTGTCCCCAGCAAGGACGCAGCTCCCAGAGCTCCTGCAGTGCCACCGGGGTCTCTCCCTGTCCCCAGCAAGGACGCAGCTCCCGGAGCTCCTGCAGTGCCACCGGGGTCCCTTCTGTGCCCAGCAAGGACACTGCTCTCAGAGCTCCTGCAGTGCCACCGGGGTCTCTCCCTGTCCCCAGCAAGGACACGGCTCCCGGAGCTCCGGTGATCTGGGGTCTCTGCTCCCTGCAGCGCCTCGGAGCGAGCCCGCCGG